TTACGATTGCCTGGCTGTATAGCGACCGCTCTGCCAACTCTATCAGAGCTTGTGACTACCTTTGACGTGCTAGCGACGCCTATTGCGAATCCAGTCTCGTCAAAGTTGTAGATGTCTTGGTCTAGGACGCCGTACGTCTGGCGCGTCTCCTCTACTAGCTTAAACCAGGCTGTAATCGCGATAGGATCTTCGCAGGAGGCGCGCTGACTATGAAATCGTCTAGTCCACTTTGTCTGAAGCTCTGGCTGGCTCTGGATAAAGCGCGACACCCAGCATCTGCCAATAGGCTGTGGAGGTGGATCTTGGCCACGCGCAGCGAGTAGAGCGTCTGCCATCCGTCGCACGTCGATAATATGGGGCGGAAGCCTCGTCGATCTAGCTCTATGATCCATTGAACAAGAGACTGCTCTTCGACAGCTGATAGCTTGCGATTGACGGAGGCTGTCTCTGATCGTGGCTTGGTACCGCGGAGGCGTCGTCGGAGCGTTGTTCGTGGAGCGTCGTATAGCATAGCAGCTTGGCGCTAGCTTACAACACGTTTTTCTTGAAGCGCGCGAGATGCTAGAAGAACTCTACCTTCACGAGAAGTCTGTACAGAGCGTTGTTGTCGCGGCATAGTGGTGGTTGTGGAGAGTATCGCGTCAGGTTTGGTGGGGTGGGCCACTTACTGATGTGGGCCGCTTACTGATAAAACACGTTAGTCTAGGTTAATAGTAAAGACACTAACCCGATCAAGTAAGGTCTGTAAAGCCGAGCCATCTGGTCCATGCTTATTCGATAGCGCAAGCTTAGCTGAAACGACATTCCAAAGGACGCTGCATTTGCTAGACGCTGCAGGAAAGCAAACAACATTTTCGCCATGTGACAATGTCAGGTTGCGCGCCCCGTTGGTAAGGAAGACTTTTGCTATGTTATCAGCAGACACGAATAGAGTCGTATGCTTATCCTTGCATTTGTGGCAAAGGGTGCCATGTACCATTCCAACAACTCGGAATTACTGTAGTCTCAAAGGTCAGGTGTTAAGTTCACTAGGAGCTGGTAGGTTGTAGGGCCTGGATATTTTTGAAATCAAATATATTGCTAAAAGAATGATTCATGACCGAAGTCATTCGCGCTTGAGCACATCTACCAACACATCTTACTCCTCCGTCTCAGCAGCCAAGGTGCTATCGCATGTTGAGTCTGAACTCTCCGTGCAAAGTTCAAGCTCATGATGAGCTGGGATGTCAGAGACATCGTCGGCATGCTCGGCCTCACCTTGCTGCAATTCCCTCTTAGCGTGCTGGCCCTGGACGGCACCACCGATACCGATGAGGTCACCGACGACTCCAATAGCTCCGGCTCCGGCTTCAAGACCTTTACCAAAGTTGCGGAACTTACCAGCAGGCTCCCTCTTAGCGTGCTGACCCTGGATAGTAGGATCAATACCGATGAATTCATTGACGTCTCCAAAAGGTCTGTCTTTGCCTTCAACGGTATTGCTAATAAAGTAGTTTTTGCCTCGGCGCTGAGGGTCCCGCTTGACGAAATCTCCGGTGTGTTCAGTAGCTCCGGCTTCAATATCCTCGTCAGAGTTGTCGAGCTCATTGGAAACTTCCCTCTTAGCTGGCTGGACGGCTCCACCGATATTGATGAGATCTCCGACGAATCCAATAGCTCCAGCTCCAGCTTCAAGACCCTTGCCAAAGTTGCGAAGCTTGCCAACAGGTTCTCTCTTAGCTGGCTGGGGCTGGGTAGCTCCAATAATGTTGCCAAGATCTCCGATCGCTCCGATGGTATCGAATCCAGCTTGAAGGCCCTTGCCAAAGTTGCGAAGCTTCCTAGCAGGTTCTCTCTTAGCTGGCTGGGGCTGGGTAGCTCCAATAATGTTGCCAAGATCTCCAATCGCTCCGATGGTATCGAATCCAGCTTCAATACCCTTGCCAAAGTTGCGAAGCTTCCTAGCAGGTTCTCTCTTAGCTGGCTGGGGCTGGGTAGCTCCAATAATGTTGCCAAGATCTCCAATCGCTCCGATGGTATCGAATCCAGCTTCAATACCCTTGCCAAAGTTGCGAAGCTTGCTACCACCACGGCGCTGGGGGTCCCTCTTTGCTGGCGCGGGATTCACAGTTTGGTGGATATTGAGGATGTCTGAGGCTGCTCCAATGGTGCCAGCAATTGCCTCGCCAATGTTGCCGGCGATGTGGCCTTTGTTTCGACGCTGAGGGTCCCTCTTTGCTGGCGCAGGATTTACAGCTTGATGGATACCGAGGATATCACTAAAAACTCCAATAGCTCCAGCTCCACCTTCAAGAACGTTGCCGACAATGTGGCCTTTGTTTCGACGCTGAGGGTCTCGCTTGACTGGTGCGTGTTGAACGGATGCAGGCAATGGGGACGGTTCTCGCTCTACTGCGAGGTAGGCATTACCGTCACGAAAGCGACTACGGCGCTGAGGGTCCCTCTTCGCAACTTTTTGGGATCCTGCGATTGTCTTGCCGAGATTGATTCCATCAGTCACGAGGCCAATAGCTCCCGTCCCGACATCAATAGCGTCGCTGATCCGGTCGAGTCGACGACGAGCCTCAGGGTCCCTCTTCTCAGCTGACTCTTTCTGGCTTACAGTCAAGACGTCGTCGTAGAAATAGACAGGCTCGCCATTGCGACCTTTAGCAACGCGCTGAGGATCCCTCTTCACAGTCGATGGCTGATGACGATTGAGTATTTCCAACAATTCAGGAGTAAGGGTCACCGGGCGACCTGTCAAATTGTTCTGGAACTCATCCTTGCCAGACTGAGAGTTCCTCTTTGCAACGGAATTTTTCGCCTCAGGAAGTTGTTGTTGTTCAAGGATCATAAGCGGATCATCATAGGCGATTCGGCCGAGAGCATTTGGTTCACTCCCAACATTGCGGAGCCGAGAGTTCTTAGAGTCCCTCTTTGCAGCGGACTTGATCTCCACATCGTCAATGACTTCGTCCAAGTTGGAGTCAACTCGAGCCTTGCCAAGAGTGGTTCGGAGCTTGGTCGGCTGAGTATTGGGGAGGAACAAGGCCGGGCCTAAGGCGGGGGCAGCATGGGTCATGCCAGCCGTGAAGGCGAGGATGGCAGCGACGGTTGAGGGATGCATGTTGAATGAATGAGGTAGGATCAAAGATCGTAGGAAGATGTGCTTGAAAGAGCGTTTGTGGGTGAAAAAAGAATGTTATCGTAAAAGCCAGCGATCGTCAACCTGCGAGACCGAGAGAGAATGGAATGAAGGTGATGACCGAGTGATTGACGCTGATGCGATGATTTCCAAATGATGCGCAACTGCTCCTCTTTATACCGATTGTTTGCAGCTACTTCGCATGAGGACGAGCCGGCACGTTTCCCAAAGGCCGAGTGACGAGTGTCGTTTCGACGAGACAGGTCCCAAAACAGGGGCATAAACAGTGACATGTCTGGATACCTTGGCGTTAGTAAGAGTTACTGTGTGCAGGCGGAAGATTTTTGCGGAGTTGGAGGCGTCAAACCATGGCGGAGACGCTACGTGAACAGCTCAAACGTGGGTGTTGGTATACATGCATTACCTTGGCGTAGGTGTTGCTTGTCTGACAACACCAGTGCATGAGGTCCTCGGCATGAAGCGGCCATACTGTGTGACACGCAGACGCTAGCACGATGGTCACACCAACTGAGTGCATGTGTAAACAGCTTCGCCGCCAAGAAACTCTCGGACTCTCATCACGTGGTTAAGAAACAGCTGTTCTACCTGTGAAGAGTTTCACAGGCTTCTCGAAGCCCGTGCGGGGGGGCTTGGCGTGGCCTTGGCACCACACTACCCCCTCAAACCGTCCGGGCACGGTTGCACGCTCTATGCCCTGATGTGTTAGTTTCACTACACCATATATTCCATTCCTTATAGGTCTTTGAATCAAGTATAGTGACCTTTTACCATTGCATTGACGTTTGGACGTCCCCCGCCATTCTTGCTTGTCAACTGAGGAGAAGTTGAGTCTGGGCAATAGCATTGAACTCACTGTCTGTGTTTCACACCGCCGTTGATGGATAGTACAGTGGGTTTTCGATATACGATTTCCATGCAATGACTACGCGTGATCACTGCGAGAAGGCAGATGCAGTGTCTGCAGGATTTTCTATATCAATGGCGTGGTTGTCGAGTTATCCATCGTCATTGAGTTCACATCAATCTCCTCCACCATCGCTTTATACACTCTTTTGCTATCTAGCTTCCCCCAACACACTCACTTGAAAAGATGTACATGTCTTACCACCCCATTCTTTTGGCTGGCCTTGTCCAGAGTGTACGAGCTGTAGCTATGGGAGACCTTGCAGTCCAGTTCAACGCTGCAACTCCCACCAATGTCGATGGTGTTATGGTAAATGGTAAGCTGCTGGACACTCTATATCTAAGACTCACTCTAACACATCAATCTTGTAGCCATCGCAAGCAACAGTCTCTCGGTCAGAGTGGGCACTGAGGAAAGGCTCCCAGGCACCTACACGCTCCTTATCTCTGGAAACGGCACATGCAACCCATCATCTTCATCCTCTCTTTGCAAAATGCAGCCTGGCCTTATATCCTCGACTCAAAAGACCTTGGTCAATGGCAAGATGGTATACGAGCTTGTGGACCCAAGCAAGCCCTCTTCTGAGTCTCAGGCTGCTGCGGAATTGTCCACCGACTATCTTCCGCTGCTAGATGGCTCCAAGCAGCTTCTCATCAACACCACCGACGGCCAACCTCAAGACACTGCAACTTTGGTTGCGGAGCCATTCGCTACCGAACACACCGTCGCAAGCAACGTGTACAAGGCCTCAACCCAGAGGGGTCTCGGACGCATGGGATTCAACTTGGCTACCAGGACCATGGTTGCACGAGCACGCAAGTCTCGGGAGCCAAGGCCCAGGAAGCCCGTCAGGAACATCACATTGAACTTTGGCAACAGGACTCAAAGCGAGGGCAGCAGCGAGATTCTCCACACGACGTCTCTGATCTGGGCTTTTGCGGCTCTTACTATTTTCCATGTCGTCTAAACCCGACATTGGAATCTATGTGCTGGCACGCAGAAACTTCTCTTCTTGAACGATGTTGAGCATCGAAGTTACAGACTATAGCTTGCTACAGTCTGCCTTTTATGCTAGATGCTTTGCCCTTGGCCATATGTGGACTACTTCATTGTAGAAACTGCATATCAAAATAGATTTAACGCTGATGATTTGGTACACGAGAATTGATTTGAGTTGCATTTTTAAATCCAAGTTGAACAAACCCTCTTCTGTGATCGTGACATGGTGATGTTGAAAGTTGGTCAGAAGATGAGGGCAATATCACTCAATGTGCTTGACACCGCTTTGGAGCAGACTTACCTACAGTAGATCCATTTTGACTATGATGAAGACTTTCTTTCTGTAAGGAACGGAAATCAGCCTGACATATTTTCCTAAAAGTTACTGAATATTACTTGTACAATGAGAGTCTCTCGTACGAACTGTTGGTAATGAAAAATAATATCATCGTGTTGCTTTACGAGTTAAACATCATTGTTAAATTTTGAAACTCCGATATTGTATAATGTTATATCTACATTTGTTCAGAAACACAAGATCCTGTAGGAACCCCCAGAAATATAACACAGAGATTCTCTTCCACTATGTTACAATGTCTTTTAGTGTCTGATTATATCCGTCAAGGAGTCATGAATAGCCAGGATCACATGACCACCCTTCTGACAGACGCATTGAATTCTGAAAAAAAAAATCAGAATTCAATTCTATTTTGAATCAAGACGCCTGTTATTCCCGAAAAATTATTCTTCATAGATTTTGTTGATTAATTGAGGACTTTAATCTTGACGATTTATCCCATGTTTCTTAATCACACGAAAAAACCAGATCATGCAAATGATTTGCACGTGCTTTGTAGATTTTATGTCAACATCACGGGGAATAAGTTTTTTTTTTTAAAAAAAGGAACGTCAAACAACGACAATCAAGACCATAACTTCCTACATCTAGCATTTGCATATTCATCTGATTCCACAATAATTCCAAGGTCCAGCCTATAATCCGACTACTTACCAAAAAAAAGCCCGAAATTCTACCAGGATTTCCCGATTTCCTACTTACCAACTCCAGCCATCCATGTGTAACTCCAAAAAAAAGGGATCTCCTCCCCCCCCCTGAATTATGTACAGCCAGCAAAGTTCCGCCAGAATTGCCAGGTCCCCCAAGCTCCGGGTCAGGCAGATTCGCCCCTTTCGTTCGATTATTGCTTGAGATGCGTTATGTGTGTACGCACACCATGCATGCATCAATTGAACCAGTACCGGTATCTCTGTAAACTCCTCAAATGCTGTAGAAAAGGACAAGCCATGTTCGACAGCTCCACAATGTACTAATGACACTGACAATGACATCAAGCCGTAGTGTCCATCAGCCAGTGGCCGTCTCGAAGTCCCCGCTCGAGCGCCTTCATGTCATCTTCAGCAAGGCTGACCATGGCCTCGTAGGGCTCTGGTTCCCTGTCTGCCCTGTCTTTCTTCCTCGGCAACACGACGATGCCGCCCTCGAAGGTCCACGCCGCGCGCCGGATCGCCGTCGGCTGCGTGTCGCCCGCACCGGGGATGCACCATTCGCGGTCGACGCCCATGTGCTGCCAGCTGGTGATGTAGAGATCCGGGCCGTTGGGGTAGACGAGGAGAGCCTGCTGGGTGCTACCCGGTTCAGTGATGACGCGGTGAAACTGCGTCGCGACCCATTCGTGGTTGACCTTGGCCACGGAGTCGGAGATTTTGCTGACGAAGATTGCGAGGTCTGACGTGTCCATGCTGAGGCGAGGCGCGCTGGCAGTGGGTATCCGCCCGTTCCGCTGATAGCCTGGCGAGGCCTTGGCCAGAAATCCTACGTCATTGTCGACTTGGTCGCCGAGCTGCTCGTCAAAGGACCATGTGGGCGTCTCGGAGAGAACCAGATTTCCCAGGTAGTCCGGAGACGAGAATGGGGCTTGGACGTGTTTTCGGAGGTCGATGACGACGGCTAGTGTCGATTTTGTGTTGCCCGAAGCGATGAGCGATGGCAGGCGGGCTTGAATGACACTGGCCCAGATCAGTCCAGCGAGAGCAGCAAAGTGCGATGTGTATTTCTTGTTGAGGCCAGAAACAGTGCTACTCAGCTGGCTGATGGCTGATTTGCGGAAGCGGAACAGCTTGGTGATGACCTTGTATGGTGTCTTGCGGAGTGGGCCTACTTTTTCCTTGATGTTCTCCCTAGTCAAGTCTCCCTGGGTGGAACAAGTAGCCAGATCGCGTGGTGTCGGTTCACGTGCTAGGCTGGCGAGCGCAGCTCGAGCGAGCGAAGCATCTGAAGTGCTGTCGTCTGCTTTCGAGATGTAGCTATCCCCATTACGCCCACCGTCCTGGTTGCACTCTGTCAATCCCCTCACGGCCGCGCTCCACACCTCTTGAATTCTCGCATTCCCCGATCCGTCTATGACAGGATGGTGGAACCAGACACTCAATACCAAACCGCCTGGGATGAAAGTCGCTTGGGCAGCAAAGGTTGGGAGCGAGTCCTTCTCTCGATGTGTGAAACCCTGTGCGAAGTGATCGCCCTCTTCTAGTGAAGGATGATGCTTAATCAGAGCAGGACAAAAGTCTTTTGCTGGGAAAAGCTCGGGCAAGAAATGTGTCTTTTGCAGCTCATCATAGTCATACGAGGCATTGGTGGCATTGTCAAGGCTCACAGTGAAAACGCGCGATGCCTCTGCTTCTAGGTCTAAAGGACAAGGAAAGAGTACCTCGAGACCTTTGTGGGTAGTGTCCGTCGTGCACACTGTGCCAGCGAGGTAGGGGAATCGCCTCAAAACCTCTTTGAAGCCTGTATGCAGTGCTTTGGCTGCAGCTTCCGCATGGCTGAGATCGGGAAATGAAAATATGATGTAGTAGCGGCCATATACGCGGATATGTGGTTGTTGGTCGAGAAAGGAAAGTGGCAGCGCTTCCTGCTGCTTGTCCTTCATCTTCAGGAATTTGCACTCAGAAATCTAGCAAATCGCTTCTTGTTGTAGTTGTTGCAGCGCCTTGTTTTTTCTTTGGTTTGTGACGAGTTTCAGAAACTGCGTCCGTCGACTGTGGTATGTGTTGGGCAGTTAGTTGTTGGTTGGGGGTTGGTTGAGAGAAAGCTCCGTGGGAAGAACTTGTGCGAGCTTTTGAATACAGAGCGATCAAAGCCAGCAAAGTGAATAGAGCGCATGCATTGTGACAGTATTTGTGTTACGTTGTGCGTTGTCAGCAACTGTCGCGACGATCGGCCTGAGGTGAAGTCGCACTTCAAAAGCAATACAGTGTGTTTCCCAAGCAACGGCAAGTTTTCTGGTGAGTTTCTCAGTAGTCCTGTTCAGAGCTATGAGGGAGAGCCGCCGTTTATCAAGTGGATTTGAATGATGCGGGATCCGCAATGTACGCTTATTTTTTTTTCTCCTTGGTCCAGTGCGACCATGGCTAATTGGTTGGTTTTGCATCTAACACCGGCACCCTAGGATATACTTGCTGTCTTAACCAAAAGCTGGGGGTGTTCCCGCGGAGCAACTAACCGGGGGGCCGGAAGGAATAAATATTGCGGTAGGAGTGCACGGTCGATGTTGTAAGGCTGTCGTATTTGGGGTTGTATGGAGAGAGCTGATAGGTGGGTAGGCCTGGCCGATCCTGTAGGCTATTATTATTATTATTATTATTCTAGTTTAACGTCCTTTTTCAGCCCGAAGGGCTATATAAGACGTGTAGGGTTCTTAGGCCTACAAGTATCTAAGTAGGTTGTTTCTAGCTACAATATTTAGGAGGGGTTTTAACTAGATGAAGGTGAGGCTCGTAGCCTATTGGTT